CAGCAAGCACCAAACGCTGGTTGAGTTTTGTTGGAAGCGATTGGAAAATTTGGCATTTGGCCATGCATGTTGCCTTTCTGTTGCTTTACACTTGACTTCTTGACTTGCTAAAGACTGCCTTCCAGGAGATGGCCCCATTGTCGCACACCCCAGAGATGTGTTTGCTGGTCTTCCCCGTCCGTGCACGTCCAACTCGTTCCCGTCGCTGAGGACTTGGCAGCTCTGGAGGCCAAGAGGGACGAAGCACGGAGGCCGGGACTGAAGCACGGCTCGCGCATTGTTGGACAGTGGCAGCTGGTGACCTTCCCAAGGTATTCACGGTCTTTTCATGTTCTTTTGAAATGGCTTTTCCAGGGGGCCATGCCATACTTCCGCTGAGTGTTGGAAGTCGGGCGCGCGTTCGCTGGGATGTGTCCCAGGTTGAGGGCGCAGGCGGAAGAGGCCGATGAAATTTTCAAGGCACGACCGGGTGTACAGGTCGTTCCGGCTTCATTCGGCATTGGTTCAACGAACAGGTTCGGCGCGGTGAGATGGGGTGCCCCGGCTGAGGATGAATGTGTTTGTGTTTGTGTGGACGGGGGTGGACATGAAACCCATACAATTACACCAGCATAGACCCCAAACAGCTTCAAGATAGAACCCCTACTTGGGTGCAAAATCTTGGGATTCAGTGTCTCAAACCGAGGTGAGCTTGCTCCATGTTTCGACAGGTCTATGACGACATGGACGTTGCTGACAAGGACGAGCCGTCGAGCCAGTCGTCGAGCCGGTCCGGATGGGCGATCTGCAGCGGTTTCGAAATTGACTGAGGAGATCGAAAGGCTCTTAGAGGAGATCGAGAAGGCGACGGTTTTATCATCGTAAACGATTTGTTTTTTTGGTCATGATGCGTTTTTTGATGAGTTGGAAACTCAGTTCTAGGCGTGCTTGCTCTTGGGATCGGTATAATGTCCTTTGTGCCCTGCAGTGGGCAACTTTTGGGACCTTGTTGGATCTCCTTTCAGCAAAGAGCCAGAGGTTGTTGATCCCACGTTTCTCCCAATCACATCATTCTCAATCGGGAAACGGAGCGAGATCAAGAAAATGATGCAACTCGCTAATGTCACAAGCGGGCCTTTTGTGTCCTTTTGTCAACGAAGACACCGGTTTGAAGTCCATGTTGCTATAGCGAAGCTCCGTTCTTGGATTTGGTCCTGGCCGGACCGGCTTTCCGAACTTCTGGGATTCAAAAAGATCTTCCAAACACCAATCAGAAGCCTGGAAACAACTGAAACAACCTAAAACAACCAGATCTATCCCAGGACCTTTCCAAGTCGAACTTGAGATCTCAGAAAATCAACAGGATAGACTCTACCAGGGAGGTCAACCTACCACCCACACCCATTTTGAGCGCCCACTCCCACCTGTTCCCCGACCACAACTCGCGGCGCGCTAGACCTGCCTTCGCGCCAGGCCAAGGCGGAGGCCAAAGCCGCTGAGGCGCAGCAAGGCACTTGGGCCAAGGGAAGTCCGAGGGTTTCCTTGGTTAGAATTGTTGTGGATTTTTTATTTTGTTGTGATAAGACAAGATAAAACACTTATCTACACTAGCTTATATACACTTATATACAAACTAATTATACCTCACACGCGCTTGATGCGTTTGAAACACCCAACCCAAAGATCCGAGTTCTTCGAAAAGAGAGCTAGCTTTCGTGGGTCGCCAGGTGAACCGGAGCCGGTTCCGCCGACCTCACCGCGGCGGAACAGCCATGTGGAGCAGCCATGGCGGCGCAGCTCGCAGATCGAGGAGCAACGATAGGTCGTGAGAGAAGGAGAGGAAAGAAGGTGATAGAACATGAACTAACTAGAAAATGAGCTGGTGAAGCTGGAATGAATTCTTTGCATTGTTTCCCCGCTCTTTTTGAGACTTTCTTAGTAGAAAGGGGATTTTCCTCAAAGAAGGGGCAAGAATTGGTGGCCATCAAAAGACAAGTTCCGGTCACGTCTTGGTCACGTCCGTGTGTTCCCTCCGCGCTTGGCGGCTTTTTCAGGACATGGACGAAAAGGTTCGAAGCTTCATCAAGGCCGAGGGCCGAAAGAAGAAGAAGCGCCCAGCTGAGCCCAAAAAGGGGGGCGGAGCGGAAAAAGATAGCGTGAAGCGTGAAGAGAGCGGATTTCCGCAGGTGATTCGTAAAAACAGAGTAACGCTGGGACCTGGGGGGCCTGAAGGTCTGAAGGTCTGTGTTTTCCGACACAACCGGTTTCAGGTCTGTGGCGTCGACGTATCCAAGGCTTTTGCAGCAGCGGAATATCAAGTTCAAGATGCTTCAGAAGCTTCTTCAGCAGGCGATCCTGCTCACTTCTTTGTGCCAGAGTTCAACACTACCACAACACACACCGATTGCATTGGAAAAAGATCACGTCCCGAACGTTCCCGAGGCCAATGCGCAGGCCGCGGCCTCCGGCGGTGCGACCTACGTGCCCACGGCGCCCGAGACCACGGAGGAGCGCGCGGAGCGGATCCAGAAAAACCTCGACGTGGTGCAGGATCGGACGCGACGTCTCAGTCGGGAGCTGAGTCGAGGAGTTGTTGGTTCGGGTGGATCAGGAACCTCAGCTTTTTGCTGCTGCTGCTGCGGTTGGTGTTGGTGTTGGTGTTGGTGTTGGTGTTGGTGTTGTTGTTGTTGTTGTTGTTGTTGTTGTTGTTGTTGTTGTTGTTGTATTTGTATTTGTATTTTTATTTGTATTTGTATTTGTATTTGTATTTGTATTTGTTGTTGTTGTTTTTGTTTTTGTTTTTGTATTTGTATTTGTATTTGTATTTGTTGTTGTTGTATTTGTATGTGTATTTGTATTTGTATTTGTTGTTGTTGTTGTTGTTCAGTATATGTTATAATATGATGGTGTACAGGCAGAAAGCTGTTCAAAAAGTATCAAACGTGGAGTCTATGTTTCTGAAGATGCAATGGTCAATGGTCATGCGCTCATTTTCGAACAACATTAATTCGGATCATAGATTCATAGAGAGGCTTTTACTAATAGTGGTTAGTTCATGGATAGAGGATAATAGAGGGAAAAAAGAAGCAAAGTCAACAACAAATACTCAATGAACCCTTCTGTCCAAAGGACATCCGAACGCAACATCCATTCCCAACGACTTGGGCCGCGCCGCGCTGCCGCCTTCGAGGTCAACAGCTGGAGTTCTGGGACAACCGGATCGATCGAAGGCGCTACAAAGCGAGACGACCACGGCGGGACGTGAAGCGGAACACCACGGAACACCGGGAGAAAGAAGGAGGTCACCGCCACGAGTCCACCTTCTATCGCACAGTTCTACGGGATGGTCCGGTCAACCTGATGGCTCAACCGGTTCCAACAGTCGGACCACGCGAACCGGCCGGATCGGTTCATCGCGCGCGCGCGCGTTTGGGGGGGAATTCTCTGGGTCGTCAACATCCGCCCTTCGGTCGGTTCCAATGGTCAGTTCGCTGTTTGGTTGCTGGTCGGCTCGGCCCCCCAATTCGGAGATGTGAAAAAGGTCGGTGGATGGGTGACCAAACAAAGACGCAAAACTCGTGATCTGGAGGTTTGAAGGCGAAACGTGGCATGATTGGTCCAATGCGCAGGAAGAACGCGATGGAAACTGAGAAGAAGAACTTGAGGTGGGGTCTTTTCTGTGTGCAGTGAAGGGGGGGTTCCCCTTGCGTATGTGTGTGTTGGACATAGTTTTGAGATGGTTGTTGGACTCGGCAGAGGTGACACGTCCTCAGCCAAGACGTTCCAAGACCGGACATGAAGTTGCCAGACGAAGCACACTGCAGGGCATATCCAAGAGAGGTAGCCAGTGACCGTAAATAGGACCGTAATCTGGGGTACCTATGGGACAGGCTAGTTCGGGTCCTTCAACCTCTGGATATAGGGGAGCGTTGGGACGTTCCTACAGATGCCAAAACGCGAAGCGAAGTCAAAGACTCTTTCCCCGCTGACCGCTGACCCTGGCAGGAAAGAGGAGCAGAACCTCGAGTGGCTTGGTATGGTGAACCTCGAGTGATCAGAGTCTTCAGAGTCGATGTGAAGCACAATGATGCGCCTTCTACCTCGGATGGACAGACAAGAAGCCAACAAAAAGCTAATCGGATTCAAGGTGAGACACTGTTGGTCATAATAATTGGATGCGGTTTCGATAGGGATCAAAGAGAAGGGAAGAACAGGGCACAACGCTAGTTTCCTTCTTCGTTGCATGCCTTTCGTCGACCCGAAACACATCAATCAATCAAGCCTTTGATGTTGTGCAACGAGGAAACGACGGTGGTTTCTCCGGAACACCGTTTCTCACATCTCTTCGCCCAAAAAACAATGAGCACTTCCTCCGTCTCAGATATATACAGTGGTTTGGTTCGTCCCATGGAGCTGGACCTCCCGCCCCTCTGCCACCGTTCTTCTTCCACTGCCGAAACGCTCGCCGTTCGGCGCCCCGAACCACCGAGGCATCCGCGGGACGAGGAGGCCTCCGGCCTCAGCGAGAGCTCCCAGGACGTGGGGCGGGCTCGGGTGGAAAGGGGGGAGGGAAGGTGAAATGCGAATGGTTTGGGCAAATTGGGCTTTGAGTGCGAAGAAATGTGGGGCATTTGGTTTTGTGGAGCTGCAGTTTTGGGGTATTTTCACCGTTATCTATCGTCGACATCTTGGCTATGGTGTGTTTGTCACCGGAATTGGTTGGAAGACGAACAACGGACTTCGTGGCACGTCTTCATCCAATCCGACACCGTTGGCGACGTCACGTTGCGACGGAAAGATCGAGGCGATGAAGGCGACGGTTTTTGCAGGTTCAACTCAGCTCAGTGGAAGGTTGTGTGAGTTCGATGTCTTTTCTGTTGAGATGCGTTCTCTTAGACCCTGCAGTTGTAGATCAAGGGTCCATTAAGGTGTTACCTGTATGACTCGTATGACCAGTTACTTAGATCCACACACATTTCGCCTCCAGCTTTGGTCTCTCCGATCTCGATCGTTCTCGTCAGGACACACCTGAAGCTGATCCGCTGGACATCGATTTGACGCAAGAGAGCCTGGCTGGAGGTGCGCGGGTTTGCCCCCCCGCCCGCTCCGCCCGGCGGCTGCGAATCAACTCATCGACTGAGTGGACGGATGGACCGACTCCGTATAGCTTCAAATATCGTCAAAGCATGGATGTACCATCTACCCATAAGTCTTCTACATGTATATAGATGGTGCTTTTGGTTGTTGATGTTTCATAGCAAAACATGATCCAGAGCAGCAGCTTCCTCCTTCTCATCCTATTACATCTACGGGCAACACCTGACATCTACTGCGCACGCGACTCAGCACATGTGTTTTCCTCCAAACCCTCTCACCACCGGGGGCCCGGGCGGCAGGGGCAAATGACCTGCTGAGCAACAAGAAGGGCCACGTCATCGCGAAGAAATACTCCCGGATGATGCGACCCACGGTCTTCCGCAAGTCCAAGGTGTCGGCAACGGAAGAGGAGGATCTCAAGCCGGAGAGAATGCCCCTGGCACTCTTTGGAGGCCTGGCACCGGGCGGATCCTGCATGCAGGTGATTTCTCCTGCTCGAGCTTTAGCAGACAATCAACGGGCGAGTTCCAAATCATGTTCCTTCCCTGTCATGGCTCTTTTTTCTGTTGGCTACGATGCGAAGCTCAAAACCACTTGGTGGCCAGGTCAAGCAGGAAGTCACACAGAAGGAGCAGCACACGATGGCAACCTGATTGCATTGGGCTGCAAGGTTATAAGGTTCTATAGCACATGGCAACAGTATTTGAAACTCAACCTTAATGCGATGGCCTCCAACCTAATAGCGGTGGCCTCCAACCCAGAAGCGATGGCCTCCACCCTACTAGCGATGGCCTTGGACGTTCGGACTTGTTTCAAGTCACCTGGATGACTTTCATCATGCAGATGTCAGGGTGCAGCAGGATGCAGATCAATATCAGATGATATCAGATGCGCTTGATACAGAAAAGCGACTCGAGCCCATCGATTGGGACCCGAGGTGGGCGTCGGAGTTCTGGACATTTGACCGTGGAACACCCGAAGAGCAGGACGCCGGACACACCGGGCACGGTGGCACACACATCTCAACCGGATGGGGTGATTCATGAGCACGGTTACAAGACTTGGATTGGTTGAATCAGCGAAAAAGTAGCACCTCAATCATGGAACAGACCTTCCTACACCATTCCAGACCATTTCAGACCCGATATGGTTCATGATGTTCATGCTTCTCAGATGTGCTTACGTCCCTTGCCCCGCACCGGATCCAGGAGGAGCAGCACAGCTGCTAGCCGCTCTTCATCGTCCTTCTCGGCTGACGAAGAGGACCGATGACAGACTGGACCCGTTGGAGTTCAAAGGTACCCCAGAAGCCCAAAACTAAACAGGCAGAAGATGGGTTGTTTGCAGAGGGACACTGGTGCGTTCCAGTCTGGACGCAGTCTGTGGGGCCTTGTGCCAGGAGGTGGATTTGGCAGATGGGCCAGGCAGAGATTGGGTAGGGAGTGTGGTCGGGAATGTTCTCTTCCCTGTTTGCCTGTACGCTGTGGTGAACTAGTGGTCGACTGACCGCCTCCATGTGGGAGTCGATATGTTTGCTGTAGATCGATCCATGTAGGGTATGTAGGTTCCTTCTCTCGCAGTTCCATCGTTAGGTCTGTGAATCAGGTTGGAACACGTGGGCTGACTGCAATGTTGCCTCATACAGAAAAGCACGCACGATCTGCAAGAAATTGAAACTCCAAGGATCTCCAAGGTATTTTTTTGGATGTTTTGTATTTTTTTCACTGATTTCCAGATGAACATCTTGGAAAAGACACACCGAAGTCAAGGTCGACCTGATCATACCAAAAACCCGACTCAAAGAGCTTTGCGAAAGGAAGGACCCGACATCCGGGTGGAAGCTCCAGGCGCGGCCTTCGATCAGCTCGTGCGGAAGCTCTCCAGACGCGAGAACTCCTCCTTCCTCGAGGTGACCGTCCCAGTTCGGTTTCGTCCCAGTTTTGGCACGACCGGAGGGGGGCTTTCGCCCTGGTGGGAAGATGCCGTGGCGGTTCTGAAGATTTCGGGAAAGACCAACAGCTTCATTGTGTCATGTGGTGAGAGCGATGTTTGTTATCTTCTTCAAAAAGGGATTGATGTTGGTTGCCTCCAACCCCCATCCAACCAAAACCTATATATATATTATATTATATATAAATATAGCATGCAGTGTCTCAAAAAAGCCAAACGATAGCTCCCTTCGCCCCACCGATCGCCACCCGAGGGCATTCAGAAGCTCCGTCCCTCGGCGCGGCACTACACCCGCGGCACGCGTCGGGAAGGGCCCGGACAGAAGCGCCTCGGCCCGACGTGGTGCGGAGGGAGGGACTCTTGGGACTTCTCAACACGCGTAAAGAAACGAAAAGATGGGGTCTATGCAGGAGAGAAGACCCACGGGCTCGACCCGGGTTGCAGGTCAAAGACCACGGGGGCTTTTTAAAGGGGGGACTTGGAGGTGGTTTGAAGCCGCGTGGGTGAAATAGGTGGGTTCTTTTGCTTGGGGCACTTGGGTGGGGCAGAAGAACATGTAAATGTGTGTCAAAAGTGCGGCTGAGGCCAAAGTGGCAAAGTCCATGTGGAATTGACCGTTCAAAGGTGTTCAAAGCAGAATGACTGGCGCTTGGTTTTCGGTTGAAGGTCCAAGTCCTCTTTTTGTTTAGCACGGAAGTCGCTGACGTGGCATGGGACGGCCATGTATCCAACGGCACGCGGTGCTTGGCACTGAGGAAGAGATCGAAGCGACGAATTTCCATCCAGTCTTTCGTGGACAAGCTTTCAGATCAAGGTGGGGTTCAGAACTGATTCAGACCTGCCGGACGTTTGGAAACGACCTTTTCGAAGACAAAGTTTCTGACTAATATGTTTAGCTTATAAGATGTCAGCAATTTGAAAGCCCTGTTCAGATTCAGATGCGTGATGCGTGTAAGTCACGGAAGTCCTGTGTTGTCCTGTGCACGAAATCAACAAACACCGGCACGGAAAAAGAACCCGTGACGTGTTCTCTCCTCTGTGTCAAAATCCAGATCATTGTAGCTTTGAAGCCTCTGACTCTTAAGTTCGGAAGAAAAAAAGGACGTCGACGCAGCGGGACGTTCGTTCTTCGGTTCAAATCCGATCACCGCTTCTACACGACGCAGCTCCTGATTCACGACGGCCCAGCGCCGAGGAGGCAGCAACGGGTGGTCGCAGCACGTCGGTGTTTTCGTTGACGGTCACTTGGGGAAGAGACCAGCGATGAGTGGATGAGAGTAGCCCATCATGAGAGTCCATAGGCTGCGAAACATCAGAACCAACAGCGCCAACCAACTTGACGAACCGAGACCAACGACGAGGCGTTACGTCGACCCGAGCGCCCTTGGCGGCGAAGGGAGCGCCGATGGTCGATGGTCGGTCAGCAGGAGCTCGACCTCCCACAGCAGGGCAGTCGACGCCTGACGCAACCACCTGAAGGTGCCGGTCGGAAATGTGGTGGAGATGGGTGGAGGTGTGATGGCCTTGCAAGAAAAGGATGGAGAAGATGCTGTTGGACATCATCACCTTGTATAGCAAAAGGGAGAGGATGGAGATTTCATGGAGAGAGCTCGATTCATCATGATTCATCCAACATGACTGTCTTTCCTCCATTCTGAGGTCGAACTGCAATGGACACTCGCCCTTTTCCATTTCGATCCCCCCATCCAACCCCCGGACAGTGACGCTCCGTGACACAGCGGCCCCGGCCAGGCCCCGGCCGCAGCACCTCGCGGGTCAGCAACGCCTCCATCGAGTCGCGGCCCTTCTCCGATCGAGATGGAGGTGGGATTTTCGGGGCGGGAGAGGTGTTCAGTTCTTCTGATTGAGTCCGTTTGAAGCAGAGATTGAAACCGCAGAAAAAGAGACCATTTAACGAGACCTCGATACATCAGGATGTGCCAGCACCCGAAAGCAGCATGGCTGACACGGCCCGCCAGCTTCGCTCGCTGTTCCTTAGGCGACATCCAACGCATTGTGCAGCAGGCGATGAGGAAGATGGAGGAGTCCAACGAGGCCCGTCCGAACCGTTTTCGAGGTCACCGAGTGACCGGTGGCGGTCTGTGCAACGGAGGTCCGGGATGTTCAACCCGCCCATCAAAAGACACCTTCCAGGCCTTCCCAGGCTTTTCAAAGAGGGTGTTTTTTGTTCCTTTTTCCAAGTCAGACCATTCTTTGAATAGCCTTGGACTCCTAGGGACCAATTTGCTTTACTCCGCAACCAACACCACCGAAACGAGGGCGCCGTTCGACGTTCCTGAAGCCGAACTCATGGCTGGGAAACCGCGACCAGGCCCAACAGGTGGATGTGGTGGAGTGGCTACAGAAGGCCTGGCATGTGGAAGACTGCCATGGTTTTGGACCTGTCCAGTGTTTCTGACGCAGAGCAGGTTTCCAGGTCACAGAGCAGGTTTCAAGGCAAAAAGCCCCTGTTGAGAGGTGAGCAAAGGACCCGTCCTTGAGGATGTTTCCTGGGTAACCGGACGGGTTTCCTCACGCGGTTTGGACCACGTCTGTCTCGGGACGCCCACGAACGTTCCCTTTCGCCCACGAACGCTTGACCCGACGCAGTGAGGATGCGGTTTTTCGGTCGGGGAAGAAGAAAGGACCCTATTTGACCCTCATGTTCTTATCAAATGGCGAACAGGAGTGGCTTACAGAAAGTCCCATGTGAAGATCGAAATGAGGCGAATTCAGTGGCACACAGCACAGAAGACACAGATCTGATCTTCACGCGAGCTCGCTTCTGCGATGGGTCGATGGGTCGATGTGTCTCGTCCGAATCTCGGACCCACAAATGATGGCGCAGGCCCTGAAGGAAAGGCGAAAGATGGGTGATAAAATGAGAGGCAAGATGAGAGACAACACCACACGCATCGCCACTTGGCATGTGGATTTGGGTCTTTGTGGATTTGGGGAGGAGAGAGCCCACTCTTTTGAACCAAGACCTGTCTGGGAATGTGTTGTTTCCCCGGCTCAAGACCCAAGCTTTTGTTGAAGTCCCTACTTTTTGGCTTTCAGGAAACCAACATACACGAGATGCAATGTTTGTAGGCACCCTGAGCAGTTGATGCGCCAAAGGAGGTTACTGTTTCAATTGTGTGGACAAAACAGCACGTTCTCGAGAAAATGTTTTGGCGAGAATAGGAGGAGACTTGCAAGTTTGTTCATGCATGTGCATACCTCCTATATCATGTGTATGTGATTATGTGAGATTCAATCTATCAGCATTGTTGATGCGTGTGGACTAGTGCACTCAAACAAAGGTGTTCCTCACAGTCTTCCAGTCTTGCAGTTCCTCATGTCCTCCTCCTCTCAACTCTACGGATGGATCCTCCGGTCAACACAGACCGCTGCCTACTCCTGCGTCGAGCTGCGTCTTTCGCTTCTTTCGCTTCCCGCGCTCCGCGCGAAGCCGAAACCAACGCCGCTGCCTAGGGTGACCCTGGGGAGATGCATTTGG